AATTTTTTAACAATTCCATATTCTAATAATTCACTTAACAAATCGAAGACATCTCTTCCTTTTACACCACCTGCTCCAGGAACTTTAAAGTTTTTGGGTTTAGGAGGTTTTACTGGTCTTGGCTTGGGTGGTCTCTTTCTAGGCTTCTTTAATAAAAACAAATGTCTATTGTCTAATTCAATTTCAATTAGTTCATCAACTAAACTATTCATTTCAGTTTCAACCGATGATCTTACTAAACCTTTTGCAACATCAGTTACAAAAGTTTATTGAAAATTTGTTGAATCATCTGTTGATCCCCAAGTTGTCAAATATTCTTCAACTCTCTCATTTATTTTTATAACTGTAGTTAAATCTATTGTGTCTTTTTTTTCTTCCTTCTTGTCTTTTTTCCCTTTTTTTCCTTTCTTTTCAGGTTTGTTTTCCTTTTTAGCACCTTTCTTTCCTCCTTTCAAAGCATCTAATTCTTCTTAAGTTGGAGGATATCTTTTTTTATCATCATAATAATCAATAGCTTTAGCAGGTAATTTTTCTTATTATAATGTAATTATTACTTCCTTCTGTTTTATCCAAATACATATCAATCCAATCAATTCTTTCTTTGATTTTCTTCTCTTTAATTTCTGGTCCTTCTGTTTCCTAAACCAATTTTTTAAGTTCTATTTTTTTAGCTTCATAATCTTTCATATGTTATTATTGAATTAATGTCATTCTAAAAAAATTATTATTAATTTCTACTTTTATCTTTATTCTTATGCTTTCATAAATTAGGAATTTGGTTGTTTTGGATCTTCAGCATCCCTTTGAATTCCCAAGAATTTCATCTCTTCTTCTCTCATAAAATAAACTTATTCTCTTCCTTTATAACCTTTGAAATATTTTTAGATTATTAAAACTGATTTATCATTTTCTTATTCATCAGTAATCTCCTCACCTTCTGCTAATCTTTTTGTTTTGTTCTCTTTTCTTAATCTCTCTTTCTTTAATTATTTCAATTACATTCCTCTTTTAATACCTTACCTTCCTCTTTCATTTCTCTATATTATTTCTATAATATTTTCTAATTTTATATCAAAAAAGTATTGTTCTTCTATCACAGTTTCTTCTGGCTAACCCAAATCCATATCCTGTAATGTTTTATCAATAATGAAGTTCCTCTCATCTAATCTTTCTTTGTCTGTTTCTTTTTTAAAATATCTTGGAATAGGCACTTCTAAATAATCTGGAGTAAGTTTTAAGTCTGTTATTAATTCATCTAAATTCACCATATCTGATTGATAACTGTTTGAGTGCACATTATATTAGATAACTAATTTTTTATTTTCTATCATTCTAATTATTGCTAACTCTAGCAATTCCTTCAAATTTAATTTTTTCTATGGATGCACCATCTAATCATAACAATCTTCTAATCTAATAATAATTATTTGTTTATTAAAACTTCTTATAAATTCCTATGTAACGAATGTAATTTTATGCATAATGTTAAAACAAATCCTGAGATGGCTTTTTTAAAAAGTCAGGTTCGTTTTAGAAATTCTCAACTTATATCAAGTCTTGAATATCATTTATTGTCTCCTGCCACATATTATTATAGTATTATTTCGACATTGTAAAATACAATAATAAAAATAATAATTTCTTGAAAGCAAATATTTATGCTATATAAATGAATTAATAATTTAAATGAAAATATCTGATGAAATCACAAATCATTTTAAGAATTCTTCTTTACAGATAGCTAGTCTATTAATCAAATATTACATTCATAAATTTTCTAGCATTTTATCCTTATTCAGTGAGATATTCAGTTATATAATATGATATTGTTTACATTATTACAAATTTTTTATATTTTAATTTGATTTTTTCAACAATATTTATGATTATCAATCTGAGTTTTATGTTAGACATAAATTACATGAACAAATCAAAACACAATGAATGAATTTAATCCATTCTAATATTTATTATGTTCAAATTCCTTAAATATGAATGATAAAAATTATAAATCAATTATTTTTTTAACAAAATATTTTGAGATATATTTACTTCATATTAATTTCAATGCAAAGGATTAGAATTTCTAAAATAGTCATAATAATCTTTTTGATATTTTTCTATTTAATTTTCTTAAGGTTTAAAATAACTGTTAGATAAATCTTAAATAACATTTATTTTAATTGAAAATGAAATTAAAAGACAATCAATCAAATATATATCATAATTAGTTCGATATTTTCTATTAAAATGATTTAAATACCAACAATTTTAATTATCTATAAATATATATGAAAGTTAGGATTCAATATTTATTTGTTTTTTACTTATTGTAATAATTTGAGTATAATTAAGAATTGAATATAATTAATATTCAGGCAATTAATGTAGCTTATTAGCGATCGTGAAGATCCAGAACAATTAATTACGTAGGGAGCCTGTTCTGTAGACATTCCAACATAAAGAAACAGACCTTCTTCATAATATATGCTTCATGGTTCCTAGAACAGAAAATTAAAAACATAAGCTACTGTTTCTATATTTGGGTATTAGAGTTGATTAATTGACAGGACTTTTAATACATAAGAAGATAAAACAACAATAACAAGAGACACTAGAAGTGTATTTACTAGAATAGTGAGAAAATTGATCATCATACAATGTTTTTTTGATTCATTAGAATAATATCGAAAGGAGAGATTATAATAGAGAATAGAGTTTTATTTTTAAAAAAGAACTAAAATGATTCCATTTTATCCTGATGATTGTCTAATTGTTTATTGGATGAAAGTCATAACTCTACTGCAATTTTGTTCATGTATAATTTATCCTATGTTTATAACATTTGATGATTTAGAACACGATTTATATTTAATTGTGTTGATTTTAGATGTTCTTTTCTCAATCGATATTTTATTAACTTTTTTAACTGCTTACATAGATGAAACATCTTCTTTAAAAATATCTTTAGTTGATATAGCTATGCATTATTTGAAAACATGGTTTATTTTTGATTCAATATCAATTTTTCCATGGATTTACATAGGATAAGATAATTTGAGATTTTTTAGATTGTGTAAAATATTAAAATATTTTATATATAAGAGAAAGCATAGTTACAAAGGATAAGCAGAATAGTAAAAAGTAATACCTTCATTTATGCCAGATAATAATATGTAATTAAAGGAAGGTATTAAATTTATAATTGATGTTATGGTAACAGCATTTCTATTAATTCATATATTTGCTTGTGGATATCATTATTTATTAGGAATATAATATTTAGATGCATTTTATTAATCAACTTAAACTATTACAACAATTGGTTATGGTGATTATGCTTAATCTATAATGTATGAATATTAAATTTTATGGTTAATTATTGGAGTTGGGTTTTATACTTTTACAATAGGTGATTTTGCATATATGATGTAAAGATCTGGAGTAAATTAAGATGATGAATATTATTTTGAATTAGAGTAATTGTGTTATATATCTGATTTTCCAGAAAAGATAAAAAATTAATTTCAAAGATTTATTACAACAAATTTAAACAATAATGCATTCTGGTCTAGTTATCATAAGAAGATGGTTCATGATTTACCTTACTAAATATAAAATTATCTAGTTTTAAGTGGGATGCTTTAAATTTGTGAAGCAGTACCTTTTTTCATGTAAGATATTAATTTTACAATTGAATTGTTAAATGATGTGCAATTCTTGGTAATTGAAGAGAATGATCTAATATATAGAGAAGGATAGAATTCAAATGAGATATATTTCTTATTGTAAGGTGATGTAAGAATAATGACCAAAACTAAATTCACTTTATTAAATATTTTAGAGGGAACTATGTTTGGAGAATATGAAGCAATTGAAGAAACATTAAGAACAACATATGCTATAGCTTTATAAAGATCATTGATTTTAAAAGTTGATTATGCAATATTTGAGAAATCAATGAAGATGAGTCCAAACTTATATTTTGAGGTTTAGTAATTATTCCATAGAAGAAGAAAATTATTAATAAATAATCTTAAAGTTTAGAAATGTATGTATTTATAAACCATATTAGTTAGCTTAAAGAAGTAAAGTACGTAGATCGGTTTTAATTTAATTCAGTCATGTATAATTACAATAAACTAGATAAGATATGAAAAAGTAAAGAGAAATAAGAGAAATTAAAAATATTAATGAATATCATCAATTGGTTCTTCAATAATTGATAGATAAAAAGAGACATAAATATGATTAATTACTAACAAGATTTAAATCTGTTGTGTTTAGAATTATTCATTATAATCAATAATTAATTCGAACACCTCCAGAAGATTGGAAAGATTTGGATAATTATAATTTAATTAAGAGAGTATTTCCATTGCGTTGCTTATCAGATAAGTTTTAAGTGTTTTTTAGAAAATCCTCATCTGTTCACAGTCAATCAGTTCATCGTAGTTCTATTCGTAGAAGAATAGATTATAATCATTAATACAATAAATTTAATTGGAGACTAAGTGATGTTTAAATTAAATAAATTATTTTAATGCATAATAAAAGGTCAGTAAAAATATATCCAACTTTAAAAAATATAGTGTAAAATTATTAAGGAGGTACAGTTGCATCATCTCCATAAAGAATTAATAGATTCTATCCAAAATGGATTAAGGATTTAGTACAAGAAGATCATACAATTGAAGAGATGGAACAATTTGTATGGAAATATCATCAAATAAATAAGAGATTGGATCGGATTGATAAGATGTGGACTAAAGGTTTAATTATCAGATTTGATAAATTTAAATTGAAAAGTTAAAAAGACTTAGATCATCTTGACACTGAATCTTCTGATGAAAAATGAAAACTCAAAGATTAATACATCTTTTTCTTTGCTAATCTTTTTTTAATGATTATTTATATATAATTTATTAATGGATTACATTTTTTAGAATATAAGTTAGGTTTCAATTAAAAATATTATTTAATTTGTCTATAATCAGTGAATGAATGCTGTTAATCTAAATTTAGAAAGAGACAACTATAAAGATTTGTTGAAGAGTATAAAAGATGAATCTATGTAACTTGCTATAAGACATCAAAGTAATTCATAATATGTTATGGAGAAAAAGAGGAAATTAAAAATGGAATCTGAACATACAGGAAAATTAAGTAATTAAAACTTTAAAATAATTTTAGCTCTTCCAAGTATAGAAAACAGTACTTTAGAAGATATTTCATCTCATTTCCATTCTATACGTAAAAGTTAACCTGGAGAATTTGTTGAATTAATAGCAAATAAATCTTAATAAAAGTTTATATAGCAAAGTTTTCTTGAGTTATAAAGAAATAAAATGTCTCAAACCTTTAGAGATATAAGTTTAAGTAAAAAGAAATTTAAATCCTTATAACGTAAAGTTTTACAATAAGAACCAAATAGCTTAAAATATTTAGAAAAATAGTTAGGAATAAGAAAAGAAACAGAAAAACAAACATTGCCAATTATTTAAAGATTATAATAAAAAAAAAGAAAACCTATAGAAGAAGAAATCGAATAAGAATAACCAACTGTTTCATTTTTTGAAGAGACTTTGAAATCATATTCATATGCTGTACCTAGAAGAAGGGAGTCTGCTTAAATAGGAATAATTAGAGATAGAATGTATGTATTTGGAGGTATGAGTGGAGGAGGTATAACAAATGAAATTTGGTGGTTCGATTTAAGTATATATTGAAATATAAAAATAGAAAAGCAAGAATGGAATAATTATTGTTCAAATGTTTAACTATTTATAACTAGTCATTCAATGATAGTTTGGAAGTAATTTTTAGTTTTATTTGGAGGATCAGGCTATTATGATCATAAAATGAAAATTAGGTAAGTTTATTCTACTATAGGATTATTTAATACAATAACTAATTAATGGACAACTTCATTAGAATCAGTGGAACCTAGAAGAGAACACAAAGCATCAGTCCTTTTTGGAAAACTTATGGTTATTACTGGTGGATTAGATGCAGCAGAGAAATTACTCAATGATACTTTAATATATTCTTTGGAATCTAAGAGATGGACTGGTTAAAAATTGCTATTTGAAGAAGGTATTGCTTAACATGCTCAATGTACTGTATACGACAGTAGGAGAAATATTGAAACTGTTTATATTTTTGGTGGATAAACTGCTACATTAAATTCATTTCCTTTAATGAAGATGGTATTTTATGGACTTCATCCAGTTGGTTGGGAGAAAGTACAATATTCTGGTTAAGCACCAGAAGGCAGATATAATCACACGATGGAAAATATTGGTGATTATATAATTTTGATAGGTGGCAGATCTTAAGAAAAAATGGAATATTAAAATGAAATTTTTATTTTTAATCTTTAAAACAATTTTTGGATTATAGCTTAAAGATAAGGATTATAAACAAAAAGATGGAGTCATTCTAGTTGTGTTTATGGAAGCAATATTCTATGTTTTGGAGGAATAGGTGAAAATACATATTTACCTCCTCATATTTATTAAATAGAAACTGATAGTTACAAAATCAGAGGAAAAATTGGTATAATTAAACCATTAGCTACAATAAACGAGGAAATCTTTAACAACAGCCCTCCTCCTATGATAACAAACAGAGATTAGGAATAAGATTCTAAGAAAATTTGTAGATTAGAGAAATTCAGAAAAGCAAGAAAAATGTATGAACAAATCACAACCTATTTACCATTGCCTAAATTGAAAACACCAAAAATGAGATATGATATCTTAATTCATTTTGTTAAGATTGTAATGAAATAAATTGGTTATATATGAAAATAATTTAAGAATAAAATATTCTATTTATTTTTAAATAATTGTAATATAATTATTTTATTCAATTAATAAACTAGATATGAATAGTAATTTCTAAAGAAATAGATTGATTCTTAAAGGAATATGTATATGAAACAAAAATTTAACTGTTTGAAATATCACTAATAAACTATAATTCTAAATATATCTAATTTAAAATTCGAATTGTAATAATTAGAGTTGAAATCTAATATTCTAAACTGAGCAAAAGTACAAAATATTTAGATTCAAAAGAATTGCTATACATGTTAAGCAGATAATTGAGAAATGTGATTGAAATTTATATTAAAATCATCAGAAAAACTGGAATTAATATTTAGTAAAATTTAAGAAGCTTATAAATGATATTGGAGAACAATACATTTTTTTATATATAGCCCTTTTATTAAAGAAATTATTTGTATCATCTTTTTAATCAACAAGGTATTTCTTATTGGCCAATTACAGGAAAAAGAAATTAATTATTTTTCATTAACAGTGTTTACATCTTCATCTGACATATATTAAATTAATAACCTTAAGATGATAAATAGAGTGAGATAAAGGGAATATTCTAAATATATATAAATATACTATTTTATTTATTTAGAAGATTGTAGTTTTAACAAAAAAACCTGCAATAACTATTAAGTGCTTAATAGAGCTTAGTCATTTATGATCTAATTATTAAATTAATCAAAAAATTATAATAATTAGATAACTATTTTGAATACAAAATACTCTAAAAGTATTAGTAGCAAGTGTAAATTGTTGAGATAGCAAATTGAGTCAACATCAATATCTTTTATTAGGATAGGGAATTTTATAAAACAGAAAAATTTTTATTTGAGACTTCTGAAGTAAAATATTTGGAGATAAAATAAAGCAATTATATTGAAGATGAGGAAAATTCTATCATTAATTTGATTCAGGAGGTAAAAAGATTAATTGTGTGATCAATTTGTGTATAGTAATTGGAATAATGAGAATACTTAAATAAATATCTTATGATTATGTTATTTTTATATGATTATTTATATGAAAATACTTTCATTGCAGATGCACTGTCTCAGCATAGTTGATTAAAAATCTCATATGAGTACTTGATGCTCCGGCATGGTACACAGCACATTTTTCTATAGAAATTATTAATTTTGATTAGAATACTTAGACATTCTGCTTCAGACTCATTAAAATCTCTATTCACTTTTAATGCTCCACATCTTTTACTGCAATCTTTTGTTGCTCTTGACATATAATATAATGCTTAAGCACCAACTCCCCAATCGATTTCTTGTTCTTCAGACATTTGAACAAATATTTAATATTAAAAATATTAATACTTGATTGATATATAATTTAATTTTATATCATTCCAAATAAATACAAAAAAGTTCATAAACTATATAGTAATTAATCATATTATAATAATTTAAGGTTGAAATCTAAATATGGTACTTTAGATATTATAAATAAGTGAAATAGCAGAAAATTCAATATCAAGTTATTTATAGTAAATTTTCAATAATTAGTAATGTCTAAAAAGGCCTTTGATACAATAATAAGAATAGAATTGCTTATATAAAGTGTTGATTAATTAAATAGAATATTGAATATTAATAAAAAGTATAAAAGTTATATAGAAAATAGAATTTATACCTTGACTAATTTTTTAAATATTAAAATGTAAAATAAATTATTAGATAAAGTTTAAGAAGAGAATGCTGCAAATAAAATGAATAAATTGTTCAAAGGAAACTAGAATGATTATTATGTTTCAATGAAAGAGGAAGATAGTCATTAGATAGAAATGAACAAGATATAAAGAAAAAAGGTATTTTTATCAGGCAGTGAAGATGAAGAGGAAAGATTGCCAACACCAATTATAAAATAAGAAGAAAATAAATGTAAAGTTATTTATTTAATCTAAGAAATTCAAGTATATCAAAATACAGAGAAGAGGAGTAGTGATATTTTAGATGAAGTACCTACATAAGAAAATATTGATGATTTGAATGGGATATCATAATTTGAGTTATCACCATTAAATATATAAACAGGGAAAAAGAAAAGTAAAACAAAGAAAAATAAAACAATTAAGAAAAAATTGAAACATTAAGCATTGCCATTTAATTGGAATACTTATAAATTCTTATTACACTATCCTTTATAACATTTAAAATTAACTATATTAGTGAATGTATTGATAGTATTATCTGCTGTAGCACAAATGTTATTACCATGGATACTTGGTAGATTAATTGATGCAATCACTAAAAATGTGGAATAAGCTCATAATTCAGGCACAAATAATGAAACTAATTAGGATATTCAAAATAATGTTATTGATGAAGAATTACATTCAAAATTGTCAAAACAATTTTTATATGTTTTGGCTGCTTATACTATATTATCTTTAATAAGAGCATTTGCCAATTAAATTTGGTAAGAATAGATATATAATGATATGAGAGAAGATGTTCTAAAGTCTTTTTTATCCTTTGATTTAACTTTCTTTCATACTTACAGAAATGGTGAGATAATATCTAGGATGACAAATGATTTGCAATCAGCTAAATCTGCTGTCAGTGGAAATATTATTTTATTAATAAGAAATTGTTGTTTGACTATATTCAATATCATAATATTATTTGCATTGTCTTGGAAAGTAACTTTAGCAATTTTAACACCTATGCCAATTTATACTGTACTAGCAACACTTCATACAAAATTAGCAAAAAAGTTTGAAAAATTAGGTTAAGAATATCAAGCTAAATTAACAACTTTAGCAGATGAAATTGTATCAGGTGTAGTAACAGTAAAGAGTTTCTGTACAGAATAATTTGAAATTAAGAAATTTCACAAATAATTAGATTTAAATATTAAATTAGCTTAAAAAAGAGGAGTAAATAATGGATGTTATTAAGCATCTACTGCTTTATTTACTTAATTAGGATCTTTGATTGTTTTATGGTATGGTGGTAAATTAGCAATGAATAATTCAGCAGAATTATCAGCTGGGTATGATTATATTTATATATTTTTAGTGACTTAACTACCATTATATTATATTCATTACAATTATCTTCATCTAGTTCAGATATCAGTGAATCTTTTGCTAAAATAGTAAGTGCAACTGGAGCTTTTGAAGGAGTACTTGATATGCTTAAATGGGAGTCTCTAGTTAAAGAAGCACCTGATGCTATAGAGCATATAACTCCAACTGGAGAAATATAATTTAAAAAGGTTGTATTTTCATATCCAAACTCTTAAGTTCAAGTTTTGAAAGGAATTTCACTTAAAATTACTAAAGGAGAATATGTTGCATTTGTAGGACCTAGTGGTAGTGGTAAATCAACAATTATGCATTTATTGGAAAGATTCTATGATCCATAATCAGGTTCAATTTATTTTGATGATATGAATATTAAATAATTTAAGCTCAAAGCATTAAGAAAAGCAATAGGATTAGTTTCACAAGATCCTGTTTTATTTGAAGGAACAATAGAAACTAATATTATATATGGAACTGAAAATTATACAAAAGATGATTTTGAATGGGCAACTAAAGCAGCAGGAGTTTGGTAATTTGTTTCTGATAAATTTAAATTTCCTCATGGATTTGATACTTTTGTAGGAGAACATGGTTATACATTAAGTGGAGGATAGAAATAAAGAATTGTAATTGCTAGAGCATTATTAAAAAGACCAAAAATATTAATATTTGATGAAGCAACATCAGCTTTAGATGCTGAAAGTGAATTTCAAGTTTAATCTGCTATTGATGAATTAATTTAAAAGGGAAGCAAAAATATTACTGTTTTAGTTATTGCTCATAGATTGAGTACAATTGTAAATTGTAATAGAATTATTGTATTACAAAATGGTGTTGTGGCAGAATAAGGTACACATTAAGAATTGCTTAATAATCCTGATGGAATATATAGACAATTAGTAGAAAGATAAATATCAGGAAGGATTGATTCTAAAGATAATGATGGAGATTCTGAAGCTTAATGAAATGAAATTGTAATAATTATTTTATTTAAAATAAATATTAATTATTTTTTTATGCAATTTATCAAATCATTTATTTTAGCTCCTAAACAAGAATATTCAAGACATGAAGTTGAATTCATTCAGAGATTTATTTAGATACTTGAAGAAGAAATAATCATTTAACATACTAATAAGTAAAATATCTAAAGAGAGAATTGTTAAAATAAAATACCTTCTATTGTGAATCATAGATTAAGATCTTATAGTACAAATATATAAAGTGTATCTAAAATAAATGATTAACTAAATATATTCAAAATTTAAAAGAATAAATAAGAAAAAGTAGAATTACTACCAAAATTATCAATAAGATAATTTGAATTTAAGGATATTGAAAAACCTTATAGAAAAAGAAAATTAATTTAAAGTAAAAAGAATATAAAATAATGAAAAGTCATTCATTAACAATTAACCTTCTTCTAAACATGAAATTACTTTTTTCATTTGCTATTTATTATGTTAATTCTGAATTTTCTTTTCTTTCATTTGTAAAGAAATCTAAGGTCTATTTTTTTCTTAATGATCTATTAACTTATACACTCTTTACTCTACCTGTATCTACTTTTGCCTTAGATTTTGCTATTATGTCTTTAGATTTATAAAATTTTTATTGATTTTCTAACATTTTCATTTATCCTAATCTAATCATCTCATCAGAATTTTCACTCACTTTTTTAGTTATCATCTATTTTAAACCAGTTATTCCTTTATGACTTTACTTTAAAGTAGTATTTCTTCTATTATTTCTTTTAACAGTTTCTGGAGATAAATTATGGATTATAGATTCTCAAATTTCATTAAAATTAGAATTTATACCTTATTTTTCAGTTCTATTTGTTAACCAAGAAAATGCAACTGATGCAGCATATTTAGTTTATATTTTTTCAATTACTAATTCTTTTCTCATATTTTCATCTTATTATTATTATTATTCATCTAAATTGCCATAAGAATGCATAGGATTTTGTATTTCATTTGTAGGATCTGCTAATTTCAATCCATATATTGATTGTTTCTTCATTTTATCAGCAGATGAATTTAATCTTTATTTCAGTTTAAGTTTCCTCCTTATTACATTAAAAATTGGTTCTAATCTTTTAGCTTTTAATCTAAGAGCAGCTATTTACATCTCTTCTTTTCTCTCTAAAATTTTATCAATTAGCAATATTCTATATTAAAATCATTTTTAATTACCGTTCTTCTGCAGTGGATAATGATTTTAAAGATTAAATTATCTATTTTTTATCATTGAAATCAGATAGTAAATTATATGCTTCCCTAACCTTTTAACCTTTAATACCATTTTAAATAGACTTTATTAAATCTTAATTTTTCACATTTGCTTTTAATTTATCATACAATTATCCTCTCTCAGATGTTTTAGGGATAGTTGATATATCCCCTATTCTTGGAGATTCAATTGGAGAGACTTATGTTGTAATACTGTAAGGTGTTGGATTATGTGAATGGACAGTAAAAGTAGGGTATTTATGATTTGGACTATAAAGTGGTCTGGATAACAATAATTAATCAAAACTCATTTAATGTTAATAATTACTATATGATAATGCAAATATTTCATTCATGCTGATCTATACTTTATCTTTTTTTCCCAACTTCTTCACTTAAACTTGTTTAAAATTCTTAAAATGTGATTTCACCATCACCGTTAGCATCAAAAAATTCAAAGCATGCAAGTATTTCTTCTTAAGATATATTTGGTTCAATTCTCTTTAACAATAATCCCATTTCACTTTTATCTAACCTTTGATCAGCTGATTTGTCAAACTAAAATTATACAAATAAATTATCACTTTTTTAAATAAATCTAATAAATTGATTTTATATTTTTAGATTGATAATTTTAATTTCTCTATAACATAATTAGCTCTTTCTTCTATAGAATTTTAAGACTTTAATTAATGAGGTAAAATAGATAGTTTTTTATGCGATCCACCTCCTCTTTATTATTATTATGGATTAGCATTTGTAACAATCTATTCATTAAATAATATAAAGTAATTACTTAATTATCTTCTAACCACTTTTTAAATTCTTCAAATTCTATCTAATTATTTCCATCATCATCAAATTTATTAAATATATATTCAATTTCTTCTCTTGTGATATCTTTATCTACCTTTTATAGAAATTTTCCCAATTCATTAACATCTAAAGCCTTATCTTTTGACATATCTAAATCTGCAAATAATTTATGAATATCAATTTTCTCTTTGCATATCATTTATCTAATATCATTAATTAAATATTGAGCCTTGTCTTCTAATTTACTATTTCCCTTTATAAAATCCTAAAAATAGTCAAGGCAAATAATTACTGAAAAATATTAACTAATTGCTGGATGTTTATATATTTCTTCCCAAGACATTCTTTTATTTTCATCAGCCTATAAACATCCAATGATCAAATCTTAGGTTTCTTATGAAACTTAATTCTTATCTGTAGGAAATTTCAAAGGTTAAGTTCTAATATTTTTAAGTAATTCAGCTGGTGATCTAGCTGTCCATGGAGCTATGAGAAGGTTTAAATTTAGATTTACTTTTTCCAAATAATGCTTCATAAAAAATAAAACCTATACTCCATACATCAGTTTTTGAATTGTATCTCTTATGATCCAATATTTAAGGACTCATGTATAATGGAGTACCAACCATTGAAGCCATCATTGTTTTTTTAAAATTATCAACACATTTTGCAAATCCAAAATCTGCTAATTTGTAAGTCTTCAATAATTATTGAACTTACTTATTTGTCAATTAAAATATTAGCTGGTTTGAGATCTCTATGAATTATACCATTTTTTATAAGTTAAGTAAATCCATTAAGTACATCAACTAGGAATTTGATAGCTTCTTTTTCTGGGAGTAACTTCCTTTTTTTAAGTAGTCTAAATTTTACAATAGGATAATTTACTCATCAAAATCTCCACCATCACAAAATTCTTAAACAATATAATAATTATTATTTGTTTCCATGACATCTAACAACTAGACGATATTTGAACTTTTCAATTTCTACATAATTTTAATTTCTTATATTAATCCCTCTCTAAGATAATCATCTCTAAATTTATAAATAGATAAAATTACGCATTGATTACAGATTTGCTTAACATTTTTATAGCTACTTTCTCTCCAGTTTTTTCATTTGTTCCTTTAAAAACTTCAGCATAAGATCCTTATCCAATTCTATCTTTCACATTAAAAATATATTTATCTATTCTTTTATCTGTCATCAAATTAAATAATTTTTTGATTAAAAATAAATATAAATATAGCAAGTTAATTGTTATGTAATAATGTATAAAAAGATAATCACCTAGAATATCTATATAACTTTTCTATGTGGTTTAAAATTGAATCCAGGTAAATTGATAAAATATATGGTTATTCTAGTTCATTAAAGTATACTTAAAATAGTTGCATTAAAATTATAATATGTTCTTCTTGCCAAAAATTTTTATAACTAATTTAATTAATGAAAAATCAAATTACTTTGATCATAGAAATTTTTGATTGTTAAAATCTCTTCCATTTATTTTTTTTCATAATCAATAAATTATTATTTCTTTAATGTATTCTAAAATAAATAGATTATTATTTCTTTATTGTATTCTAAAATAATTCTTAATCATTTATTTGATAAATATAAATAAAAGATGTTGTAACTTTATTCTTTTTTTACAAAAAATTTAGATTAGATATTGTTATTTAAGTTTTAGTTATTAATTTGATTAAACAATATGTAAACATAATGAGTATAATAATCTTATATGAAATAACTTGATCAGGCAATAAATTAGAAAAAGGTTATATAAAAAAAATATTTATTTTATCAAATTAATTCGTTTTACATGATTTTAGTACTATTGGTTAATCTAATTTTGGCAACAGGTAAACTAAAATAACATCATTTAAATCATTAAGTGATGTTCAAAAGAGAATCAAATGTGGTTGTATTGGATTATGAAAATTTTGATGCAGCTTTAATGAGATTTGAAGTTTTATTAGTAGATTTCTATGCACCTTGGTGTCCACATTGGTAATTAAATTTTTAAAAGTAGTTAAAATTTATAGCCAGAATTTGAAGAAGCTGCTTATTAATTTAAAGAAAAAAAGAGCAAAATAACTTTAGCCAAAGTTGATTGTACTCATGAATCAGCTCTTTGTGATTAATTTTAAGTTAGAGGTTATCCAACTCTAAGAATTTTCTATCATGATAGAATATATCATTATCATGGAGATAGAAACTCAAAGGGAATTGTTGAATTTATGGAAATGCATTTAGAATAAGAAGAAGAAAAAGAACATAAATAAGAATAATAAAAACATAGATAATAATAGAACTACCCTTGAACCATTATTATTATAGCAAAAACAAAATTAAAACATTATCTAACAAAATCATGGTGTATGTTCTTCAAAGTTTTATAATTCTTGTTCAATTTATGCTTGATCTTCATCACCAACTGCATTTCCTATTAAATCTGTATCATCTTATAACATTTAATCTTCTTATACAGCTCCCCTATTTATTGATGAGATTATCTAAATATACATACAATATGATTATACATTCCAATCTTTTGAAACTTAAAAACTAACTACACTTCTTCCCACTTAGATGGCCATATTATTATTTAGATCAACAGACATTAAAGCAGGATTTTTCAATAAGACTAAAGTTCCAAATTTTGATTATTAATCTTCAATTACAAATCCAGCTAGAATTATTAAATTATAATTTACAATTAATAAATTTAATCAAAGCATGACATCTAGATACTGAAATATCTGTAATTCTTACATCAGAATCATGACCTCTGCCTAATTTGATTTGTTATTTTTATGCAAAACTAATTATATGAGTTCCTTTGCTCTTATTACGTTCTCTACTTAAAATTTCTAATGTTATATATGGAGCATCTGGTTTAGGTATAATTATGGTCTCAAAAATTCTGTCTTGATATCTTATTCTACCTAGATATCTAATATAATGATAATTACTAGGAATAATGGCCTTACATACTTCACAATCAAATTATCTCCATTAAAATGAAACTGAAAACTTGGTTGTTTTAGGGGATAATTTACTAACTAACCATGTTTATAAACATTATATATGTATGTATTTAACAGATCCTTAACATTTACAACAATCAATCAATGGATTGTCTTTATTTGTTTAGGAATCATTATAACATATTCTACAACAAGGTTCTTCTGATTAACTTCTTTTATCATCTTCTTATGTATTAATATTCATAGTATTTAAACATTTCTCTGAAACATATTTTTATAATTCTGGTTCAATGTTACCTTTATTTGTATTGTTATTATCAACAGAACATTTGATTTCCCTAATTCTAAATCTCACTCTTCCTAATTTCACATAATCTCCTTCTTTTAAATCATATCCCTTTATTGCTCATTATTATTTCATACTTATCCATCAGATAATTGACTTTTAGTTGATTTAACAACTATCCATGGGCAGTTGTCATTTAAACCTTCTTAATCTTCTGCTTTTGATATTCTTAAACTAGATTCAACTTAATATTTTGAAAATTAACGAGTCAATTTAAGTAATTCTATGACATCTGGCTAATTTTAGAATTACTATATTAATAACATTATATGCTACCTATAACTCCTCTTTTGTTTAAATTATTTTAATATTTTCTTTTTAACGAATTAATCTCACTATTTTAAGCTGCTTATATTACTTAATTATGTATTTGTTTTGATTTGTCCTTTTATAACATTTTTATTTTCATAATCAAATAAACCATGAGAATCTCGATTCCAAGTAAAGTGTTTTATTGTTCTTTTTATTATCTATAAATATTCTTACAATGAAACAGGTGAAACTTTATTAGCATTTCGGATATCATCTTAACTAGAAACACAATTCCCCATTTTATTAATTTATATATTTATATTCTTTCAATAAATTTATATATATTTACTCTTCTTTATAAATTATATTACTGAAATTGTATTAAATTTATGTTAATTATTATATTCATCCTAATAAACCTTCCTCTTTAACTTTAGTTAATGAGAAAAATATATTTATTGCTGATGATGTTCTATCTTTTGTTTCTTAAACAAATTTGAATATGAAAAACACTCCTAAAATACAACATCCAGTAAAAACTCCAAAAACAATAGACAATCTCTCTTTGTTATGATCAATATCTAAAATAACAAAAGCAAAAGCTATGAATGTACAACTTATCCAATTACAAAGTACTGCTAAAGACATTCCTTTCTCAGATAAGATATCAGCATCATATATCTAAATTATTAATATTTTTTTTATTTTATACCCATGCAACAGGTCCTAAAGATAATTAAAATGCACCAAGATATCCAAATATTGCTAATACAATTAAAATTTCTATTGTAGTATTTGGATCTTATGAAAATGAGAAACCAAATGCTACTGCTAGAAATATTGTACAAGTTATAGTTCCATATAATAATAATGTTCTTCTTCCAAATTTTTATAATAAATT